TCGTCCGTCAACCGTCCTTAAGGGGTTAAATTAGAGGGGCAAAGGATTATAAATAGAGTTGAGCAAACCTGAACTGAAAAGTTTGGGTTCGTACCGAACGGTTTTTAGACTTCCGGACCCGAACACGGACATATCACTGTACGTTCGGGTTGGAGTTCGGTGTTCAGCGATTTAATGGCGCGTTTTCAAAGGCTGCAGGGCAGCCAATCAACAAGCGTTTGACTCGTGTGCCCTTAGAAGCCATCACAGCCATGCCTACAAATGGCATGGCTGTGATTGGCCAGTGCAGCATGTGACCCAGCCTCTATATATAAGCTGGAGTCGCATAGCGCCGCACGCACATGAGCTCTTATTAGTGTAGGGAGAGGATGCTGCAGCTGATAGGGACAGATTAGGAAAGAGTTCTGCTAAATAGTACATTAGTGGGGTGCACTTCATATCTGAGAGTCAAATCGAAGCGTCTAATAGTGTGCTTTCTGTGCACTTGTAAACATTCTAATTGTTTTGCTGCTAATCTGCTAAATAGTTCCTTTTGGGGCCTGTTCGTCATATCTGAGAGTCAAATAGAAGCGTCTAGTCAGGGCCGCCATCAGGGGGTGACAACCATGCCTGGACACAACGTGTAGCGGCGGAACTGCCGCCGGTGCAGTTGCACCGGGGCCCGCACACTGTTGGGGCCCATCGGGTGGCCCACGCACTTAGGGCCACCCGATGGGCCCTGTGTCTTCAAGGGCCCGGTCAGCGCTGCGTCCATGCAATAGCGCGACCGGGCCCCTTTAAAAAAAAATCTCAGCCGCAAAATACTGCTGGGAGGAAGTGGCCGTCACTTCCTCCCAGCTCCCTCCCCTCCTTGCCGCGCGGGAGGGAAGAGAGCCAGGCCGCGAGAGCCACACCGACTCCTATCAGCCACAGCCTTCCACCTGCAAAAAAGGTAAGAAAAATTAGCTGTATGTTAATATGTATGTATGTCAATAGGTATGTATGTTAATATGTATGACAGTATGTATGTATGTTAATATGTATGTGTGTATGTCTCTGTATGTATTTCAATATGTATGTAAATGTTTGTGTCTGTCTGTCTGTATGAATATATGTCTGTGTGTATGTATGTCGGTGTATGTATGTGTATGTCCTCATGCATGTGTGTCTGTATGTATGTTAGTATGTGTCTGTCACCATGTATGCCTGTGTGTCTGTATATATGTGTGTGTCAGTATGTATGCCTATATGCGTGTATGTCTGTTTCAGTATGTGTGTCTGTTAGTATCTATCTGTGTGTATCTGTGTCCTTTTGTATCAGTGTGTGTTTTTGTGTCTGTGTGTGTATTCCTTTGGGCAGGATTGGAGGCGGGCCCCAGGGGGCCCAGACCCTGAGCTGAGTTAGGGGCCCCAAAATTTCTGGTGGCGGCCCTGTGCAGGGCCGGATTAACATAGGGGCTGATGGAGCTGCAGCTCCAGGCCCAGGCCCATGGAATAGGCCCATTTATTTAAAAAAAAATAAAAAAAAAATTTTAAAACAAATTTTCACACACTACTCTTCACTACACTGGCTTTTATTTTATTGGCATAGCCAGTATTTGAGGCTGCCTGGCTGGTGCCAATATTGCAGTGATACTGGCAATACAAATGCTGGTATTTTCCTCAGTATAAACAAGAGATTACTATGCAATACCAGCACTGGCCAGTAGGGGTTGCTGTATGTGGAGACAGGCAGGGATAGGAAGTTTCAGCATATCCCTCCCTGCCTATCTATACTCACTGATCTGCAGGGGTGCAGCTACAGAGAGTCCAGACAGCAACTCCCACCCTGCAGAGACAGCCTACAGCTCAGGGAAGTAAGGGATGGGGGGGGGGGGAGACTGCAAGGAGACATACACTGAGACACTAAGGGACATTGGGAGACATTATGACACAGACACATGGTGTCTCAGTGCCCCCTAGTCTCTCAGTGACCTCTAGTCTCCCAGTGCCCCCAGTCTGCCAGTGTCTCACTGTCCCCATGTCTCCTAGTGTATTCATGTCTCTCAGTGCCTCAAGTGTCACAATGTCCTCATATCTCCAAGCTAGTGTCCCTAGTGTCTGTGGCCCTAGTGTCTCAGTGTCCCCATGTCTCCCAGTGCCCCCATGTCTCAATGTCCCCATGTCCCTCAACCAGTGTCTCTAGTGTCTGTGTCCTTGGTGTCTGTGTCCCCATGTCTTCAAGTGTCCCCTATTTTCCCATTGTCCCCATGTGTCCCAGCCAGAATCCCCTAGTCTCCCAGTGTCACTGGTGTCTCCGTGTCCCTAGGTCTCCCCATGTCCCCAGGTCTCCCCATCTTCCTAGTTTCCTAGTGACATGGGTAACCTGGGATACATGGGGAGACATGGGGCATTGAGACACTGTGATACATAGGATCACTGGGAGACCTGGGGACACGACACTAGGGGACACTGGAAGACATGGGGCACTGAGACACTGATACATAGGAACACTGAGACCTGGAGTAATCGACACATGGGGGCACTGAGTCATGAGGGCCCTGGGAGACATGGGGGCATTGGGAGGAATCCATCTATACAGCAAAATCAAACTAAGTAGTTTTTTGGTGATTTTACAGCATTTTCTCTTATGTCACTCCTTGTGATTTACATCATGTGATGTCACCCATACATATTTAATTATGCAAATTGTTTTTCCAAGAAAGGTGGCAACCCTAACTACTTTTCACATACTCTTACTTAAGTATGGAAACTTAAGAGGGATGAATGGGAACAAAACTTGCGTGGACTGGCTGACAATGAATATAGTTAAAGGGACACTATAGTCACCAGAACAACTGCAGTTTATTGAATTTGTTCTAGTGAGTAGAATCATTAACGTCAGGCTTTTTGCTGTAAACCCTGCATTTTTTAGAGAAAATGCAGGCTTTACATTACAGCCTAGTGATAACTTCACTGGCCACTCCTTAGATGGCTGTTAGAGATCCTTCCTGGGTCATAGCTGCCTAAAATGCATCCAAACATTCAGTGTCTCCTCCCCCTGCATTCAGACACTGAACTTTCCTCATAGAGATTAATTAATTCAATTCATCTCTATAAGGAGATGCTGATTGGCCTGGGCAGTGTTTGAATCATGCTGGCTCTGACTCTGATCTGCCTCTTTGTCAGTCTCAGCCAATCCTATGGGGAAGCACTGTGATTGGATCAGGCCACCACTTCTGATGATGTCAACAGACTGCTTGTTTTTATGAGTCTAACAGCATGCAGAGTTACAGCTTCAGGCTTGAATATAGTAAGATTTTGTTATATTTATGGAGGCCCAGGGGAGCTAGATGGTGGTGTTAACACTGTAGGGTCATGAATTCATGTTTGTGTTCCTGACCCTATAGTGATCCTTTAAGGTAATGCTGACTTTGGTCTCTCTAACACTGTGGCATGTTCCCTTTCTGTGTGTTTTACTGTTTTTGGTCGATATGATTCTGTAATTAGGCCCGTCATAATTGTCAGCACCAGGCCCACTGGGCTCTTAATCTGGCCCTGGCCCTGTGTCTAATAGTGTGCTTTCTGTGCACTTGTAAACATTGTAATTGTTTTGCTGCTAATCTGCTAAATAGTACATTTGCGGACTGCGGTGCACTTCATATCTGAGAGTCAAATATAAGCGTCTAATAGTGTACTTACAGCGCACTTGTAAAAATTCTAATTTTCTGGATGCTAATCTGCAAAATTTTGGGGCCTGCTCTTCATATCTACAAGTCATGCTATAACAAAATTAAACAAGTTTTAAAATATATATGGGCCAACCAGTGGCTATAAACAACAAAGTTTTACTGGTTACATTCGTGACTACACACTCTACTGAACAGGACCTTCACAAAGTGTGCTCTTTTTTTTTTTATATCATACAGCATCCTTTCATGTGCTTTTCAGATGTCATATTGGGAATTACCAATGTTTGTGTAGCCTGATTTTTTTTAAAAAAGTGAAAAATAAGTGTTATTGTGATCGCGTCATACACAGAAGCATTAATATACATTTCTATATTGTGTAAAGACACAACTACAAAGTTAAAAACCAAACACCAAAACAACGTGCAGACAATCTACCTGTGCATGGCGTCAACATCTTAAAAATGCAATAACCCACAGAAGATGGGCTAGAATTTTTTTTTGCAAATGGAACTTTGATTCGAATTTACTACATCGGTCACTTGTAATATTGTTTCACACCTACAACACTTGTTACACAGATCTAAGTCATAGAAAACAGATTGATATTTTCTACACTAGAAACTACCAGATAACAAGCTGCTAATATTTAAACCAGTTATCAATAGCTAAGAGATACTTACACAATATTGTAATTCTGGGGCAATACCCTCACAAGTCAAACTGAGTGGTCAGTTTATAGGGAAATCTGTTGCCTGGAGGAAATTCTAAAACAATTTCCATATGTCCTTTGCAGACTTTACATGTTGGGAAAACACAGGTGCCAACTGCTGTGGCTTTCTGCAGTCTGCATACCGGCAAGGAGGGCAGGGTTGAGGAGTGGGTGGAAGATGATGTGGAGGATGATGAGGTCCTAGACCCCACATGGAATCAAGGTCATGCGAGTGACGTGTGCAGTTTGGAGGAAGAGTCGCTGTGGCACAGAGGCACCAGCACAGCACAAGAGGGAGCAGGGTGCAAAAGCGGAGCAGCCATCCCCTAGTGCTTGTCGGCATGTATTAGCTCGATAATTACCAGTTATCCAAGTAATATATGTAGCGATCAAAGGATCGGGTTCGTACCCGATTTAACAATTGATTCATAGTTTCACAGTGAGGTAGGCAGTCCGGTGACCAGGACCCAGACACTGTCAGGATGTGACATTCACTGTAGGGGCTGTGCGCACTTTTGGCGTTGTCACCCTGCTGCTGTTCGCCTGTCTGCGCTGCGGCGTAACTTAGGCCTTCCCGCTCACCGCCTCATGAGACTTTGCGAGCAGCAGCAGGCGATAGTGGAGTTTCAGCTGCAGCACGCACGGGCCTGTGGCTCTGCACCAGACTTCCCTCCAATTGATCAGAATTAAAGGATTTCAAGTGGACTCATTACAATTACAGGGCCTCTAAAGAGTCCTGTATTGTTATTTGTCGTCACTACCTTCGCGCGTCAGGAGTGGGTCATTTGCGCGCCTACTGCCTTCCTTGCATGTGGTAGCCGTTTCTCAGGGTCCCTGTATGGAATGTAATCCTAATTCCCCGTTGCCCGTGGTCACCATGGTAGGCGAGGAAACTGGCATAGAAAGTTGATATGGATGACATTCGCATGCAAAGTCGCCGCCACGGAGATGTGCGATTTGCCCGAGGTTCTCTAGAGTCAACAAAGTTCCTGTGCACCTATAATGTCAACAGCTACTCTGCGAAACAGAGTTGTCTTTTTTTATATGTCCCAATATTTTGGGGGCTACCCCAATTAAATAATAATAATAATAATAATAATAATATATATATATATATATATATATATATAAATATAAAGACAGTGTTGGCTACCTCCTCCTCCTCCTCCTCCATTGCTGCTTCCACCTACACCGCCTGGTCACCTCCTCAACCTATGGGTCACTTAGTATAAACTATGTACACAATAGCAGAGGCTTGTGAAGGCCTTTTCTCCATGCATCAGGAGTTGAGCTCAGTTTGAACACTGAAAGAGAATACCCTGCACTCCAACCCTCTCTCAAATGGATAATTCTGTTGATCCTCCTGACAGCCATGCTTTAGATTTTGATTTATGTTCTTCCAAAGCTAAAATCAAAGATTCCATCTAGTGCTATTTTATGGCTCAGCTGGTTTTTAATTTTTGTTATTCTAAGTGATCTCCCTATCCACATTTGTTTGCAGGGCACTTGTCCTACTCTTACACCCATTTTACTTCCTTTTGCAGCTCTCTAGCCCTTTCCAGGAGTTTTTTAGAGCCATTTTTGTGGCCAAAAGTTTGGGTCCCGATTGACTTCACTGGGGTTCGGGGTCAAGTTCGGGGTCAAGTTCGGGGTCAAGTTCGAGCCCGAACCCGGACTTTTTTTCAAAGTTCGGCCGAACCCGCCGGACCCGAACATCCAGGTGTCCGCTCAACTCTATTTATAAATAATATCAGGAAGGGTAGAGAGGGTAGTGGACGCATGGAATAGCCTTCCAGCTGAAGTGGTAGAGGTTAACACAGTAAAGGAGTTTAAGCATGCGTGGGATAGACACAAGCCTATCCCAGATTTAAGATAAGGCCAGGGACTAATGAAACAAATGGTTCTTATCTGCCGTCACACTGGGGATCATTCTATGTACATCAGAATGATCCCCAGCTACCCTGTGTGTACACAGTCTATAATCAGAACGATCCCCAGCTACCCAGCATGTACACAGTCTTTAATTAGAATGATCCCCAGCTACCCAGCGTGTACACAGTGTATAAACATCTCACCCTCCCACCAATATATTCTCCCTCATGGTAGTCATTCAGGGGGTACAGCCATATGGATCCTCCTGCATGCTCCCCTTTATGTAAATTCATGTTATGTGTGTGGCGGACCGCCAGTGTTTCGCCACCACTGTCTCCTTTTCTCAGTGTGAAATAGCTCTGCCAAGTTGTGAAAGTGATTTCCCCCCATACATTAGTTGAGACTGAATGCTGGGAGAAGATCGGTTTATTTCAGGCAAGCACTCTGAATTTATACACAGACCCCCAGCAAGGAGTCTCCATACAGGAATATAGCAAGCTCCTCCCTGACATGCCTGTTTCTGAGAGATAATTGAGTTAGGAAACTATAACTCTATTATCTCTCAGTTACAGGGGAAACATCAAAAATATCATACAACACCCCAAAAGTACTCCTAAAATCCATTGGAACCCCACAAGAGTCATATCCCCGAATAGACCTGATCTGAGCGCCCTAGTTGGCCAAAACGTTATGACCGGCCACGAGGTAGAAGCCCAAAACAGTTACAGGGAAATTGGTGCAACGTACGGTGTCTGCTTGGTGGTTTCTGTACAAATACCACACAATATATTCGTATGATTCCAAGTAGTGAATCCTCCCCCCAGAACGCCGTTCGTATAACTGGTCGTGAACTGGGACGGGCAGCGGTTCCATCTTCACCAGTGTTCGCGCGAGTGCCTAGCCGAAAAGAAGCAGGCACTCGAAGACCATGTTCTGCTGCCTGCGTTCAGAAGACAAAATGGCCACCATCTATTCTGTCGACCACATGCGTTCAATTGCATGAAATGGTGGCCACCCAGGGGAGCATTCATTAATTTTTTCCTTTGTCATTTCGCACTTGTTAACAGGTGTTTCACTAATGAGGTGCTGGGGTGCTCCTCGTTCGGTAGCCGAACTAAGTGGGTTCGAAAGAAAATTTGAAAAGGGAATAGTACCAGTACAAGTGATGGGGTTGTGACGGTAGTATAGGGTATCACCGTCAAGCATTCCCTTCTTCCCATAAAAGAAAATACCCCAATATTCCACAAGTAGAAATATCCCTTGAATCGCCGAATAATCCACACATGAGCCAAAGCTTAATGCTGGAACAAGACTGATTTACTGGCACACAGAACTCACAATTTATGCAATACAAAACTCCTCCTCTGGCCCAGGCTAGATAATTGAGTTTCAGCAATATACAAAGCTCAATTATCTGCTGTCCAGAAACATTACAGTTTTTAACAATTTCAGAAAAGTACTTTTTATACAACAAACAAACATAATTTCAACATCCCTGGGTAGCTGAGGATACTGGTAGTCATATATCCAAATCTCACGAATTTCCGTTCGGTAGTTTCCGTGTCGCATCGTGTGGAAGTTTGACCGGCTCGCCATGTGGAGGTATCCGAGCTAGAGTTCCATAGAATCAGTAGCAAGAGCCGGTCACCGTTCGCATCTAACTACACGAAAACCACCATTCGTATGGTGCAGTTGATTACATGTGAATGTTCCCCTCATTCGGTAGATTCCATCTACCGAACGCCAGTTTGATTCGTAGAGGGGAACGTATTCATCCAGGACTTCCATGGGGACCGGGCGTTCGCATGTTTGCCGTGCCGAAAATAGTTCCAGGCAATTCATGCGTAAGCCCCGATGACCGCATTCGTGAGCCATACTTTGTTCTCGCCACGTGTTCGTATGCCGAATGGCGGCCACCTAGTAGCAATTAAGTCGCGGTTTTCTCTGCGTTCTAATGCTGATTGCTACCCAGGGTGGGTGGTCTCCGTTCGGTAAACGAATACATTCATTCAATACATAGTGAAACGAACTGATACAGGCATTTAAACAGCAGGGAGAAGGTTTAACTGAAGGCACACAGATAAGTACATGAAAATCCTTCACAGGGGTATTTCTTCACAATGTGCTTAGACATTGCCTACATTTTTTAAATGTTTTACTATTTTTACATTGTGTTTACATACGGTAATAGAAAGGATTAATGACTATTTTACTGGAACTTGGTTATTGTTGAAGAAGTTTTTATCTATGCCCTAAGAAAGCTAAACCTGTGGCTTATTATATCTCCAGAATATCTTATTAATATTATTGTCCCAATATACATGCTTCACTATTATTTACCCTTAGATAGAGAGATAAATAGATATTGGTAGACAGAGATAGATATAGACAGACAGATAGATATAGGTAGACAGACAGAGAGATAGACAGATAGATAAAGGTAGACAGACCGAGACATAGACAGACAGATAGATAAAGGTAGCTAGACAGAGAGATAGACAGACAGACAGAGATAGACTAAGACAGACAGAGATAGACATACACAGACTCAGACAGACAGAGATAGGTATAGACAGACACATGGACAGATAGAGAGAAAGAGTCTATTCATTCACATTCTCAATGAATCACTAATTCTCTCAACAGATAAATGTCGTTTCATCTCCAATTAATTTATGGTTTTCATGCTCTATTTTTAAATGTTTTGTCCACCCCCATAACGCATTAAAATTGATTTCACATAGTAATTTCCTGAAATTATTTCCAAGAAAACTGTCATTAAACCGAACGCTTCACAAATAATGAGATGTTCGCCCGTTAGACTTTCTGCACAAAATGAGTAGTTCCCTGATTGACATGATACGATAGCAATAAACCTTCCCAGGTATCCGACACGTTTCCTGCAGGTATCAGGTGATTGACACAATGTGACGATATCTCAACTCTAAATACCAACAGCGATAAGATGTAATTAACCCCATCACGACCAGGGCCAGCCACATCTCACCTTACTGGCAACCCTGTACGGTTAAATATATTCACATAAAGAGCCCTGTTTAAACTACTTACATGTCTTAAAGGGAAATAATAATAAAAGACTATAGTACAATACTGACAACTGCAGATATAATACACTGTGTGCGGGGAGACAGGGGACCTCCTTACTCCATAACCTTATAGCTGCAGTTATAATACACTGTGTGCAAGGAGACAGGGGATCTCCTTACACCATAACCTTATAGCTGCAGTTATAATACACTGTGTGCGGGGAGCCAGGGGACCTCCTTACACCATAACCTTATAGCTGCAGTTATAACATGTAGCAGAATGGACCCTGCTACCATATTTTATACTGGCTCTGGGCTGTCCGTATCCCCTTTTCCCCTGCTCATTGTCCCCTATGTGTGAAAGTTACAATTACTGTGCTTTAAAACCTACGGTTTTCCCTGTTTCGCCAGGCCGTTCATAAAAATCCATTCCCCTAAATGGTTCCCACAGTTTTATTCATCAAACGAACAAACTACAGAATGGCAGACCACTCAGTTCACACTTCCATAAATCGCAATTACATGAACGTTGCTCCCTATTAAGGGTTAATAAGTGTATAGGGGCTTAGAAAGATACCCCTCTCTGTCTCATTAGAGATTGCTGCCACCCACCCCATGTGCTCCCTAAGTATGTAGGGGTTTATGAAAATCCCCCTCTCTGTCTCAGACATTGCTGCCGCCCACCCCATGTGATCCCTATTAAGGGTTAATAAGTATGTAGGGGTTAGAAAGATACCCCTCTCTGTCTCAGACATTGCTGCCGCCCACCCCACGTGCTCCCTATTAAGGGTTAATAAGTATGTCGGGGTTAGAAAGATACCCCTCTCTGTCTCATTAGACATTGCTGCCGCCCACCCCATGTGCTCCCTATTAAGGGTTAATAAGTATGTAGGGGTTAGAAAGATACCCCTCTCTGTCTCAGACATTGCTGCCGCCCACCCCACGTGCTCCCTATTAAGGGTTAATAAGTATGTCGGGGTTAGAAAGATACCCCTCTCTGTCTCATTAGACATTGCTGCCGCCCACCCCATGTGCTCCCTATTAAGGGTTAATAAGTATGTAGGGGTTAGAAAGATACCCCTCTCTGTCTCAGACATTGCTGCCGCCCACCTCACGTGCTCCCTATTAAGGGTTAATAAGTATGTAGGGGTTAGAAAGATACCCCTCTCTGTGTCAGACATTGCTGCCGCCCACCCCATGTGCTCCCTATTAAGGGTTAATAAGTATGTAGGGAGTTAGAAAGAT